TTTATTTTCCATTTGACGAGAATACTATCAGCACATTGCATAGACTCATTTTTAAAGAATCCACTCTTTTAAAGAAACCACAAGCCTGCCTTCGTAGCAGAAAGGAATCATTTTCAGATTTGTTGTTTGATCTGTTTTTTTTTCAATAGATTTTTCAGTTTTCCCGGCTATTATAATTAGATATTGATTCTCATTTACGATGATATATATTCTATGACCCTTCAAAATGTATTTCCAATTTAAAGAACTTGATTTTCTTGGAATAGAACTCACATTTCGATATACTCCAATGAGTTCCGTTACAATGCATTTTGAATGTTCCTTCCCTTCCTAATGAACGATACCCTACAAGTGTCAAATGCATTGTTAAGACATCGCACTTCACCAATACAAAGCCTTCAATTGAATTTCATCAGTTCTTTCTGATCGTGTACATCTATTCACCATAGTTAGTAAAGGCGCCAACGGCCGTACCATGTTGAATATACCGGTTCTCGTTAGATCACCAGTTAAGCATCATTGGGCGCGGTCAGTACTTGGGTGGGTGACCACCTGGGAACATTGCGTGCCGTTGGCAACTTTGGGACCTGAATGGCCGAGTGTCTAACGCTCTGGCGCTCGGTGCCACAGGTTTCGGGTCCGAATCCCGGCGGTGCCATGGATGTTTGTAGTGGTTCGGAATCCACTTTAAGCCGTAGGTCCGGGTCTTCTATGACTGTAAGAGCGTCACGGAGCAAAAGTCAGGCTTCTACCTACGGGTGCTCTATCACAACAGAAGCTGCTTCCTTCCCTTCAATCATGAGTCCATATGGGCTCGTGGGCTTGGCCAGCCAAGTGGGATAAGAAACAACAACAACAACAACACAGTTAGTAAAGGATTTCTAACATCCCAAACAAAATCTGCATGTTTGAAAGTTTACACATGTGATGCTTTTTAATCTTTCATTGGCGTTTAAAACATTGGCCACACTCATTCATTGGCGTTTAAAACATTGGTCACAATCATTCATTGGCGCTAAAACATTGGTCACAATCATTCATTGGCGTTTAAAACATTGGTCACAATCATTCATTGGCGTTTAAAAACATTGGTCACAATCATTCATTGGCGTTTAAAACATTGGTCACAATCATTCATTGGCGTTTAAAACATTGGTCACAATCATTCATTGGCGTTTAAAACATTGGTCACAATCATTCATTGGCGTTTAAAACATTGGCCACACTCATTCATTGGCATTTTAGATGATTATATCGACAATTCATAAACAAATCTATAATATTCTCAAACCTGTTTTGGGCATCATGTCCGAAAAAAAATTAGTTAGCAAAAAAATTTTATTAACCAATATAAGTTAATCATATATTAATGTATGATTGAATGTAAAAACTGAAAGCAACGAAATGTTGCAAAGTACATAAGTCTTTTTAGTTCTGAAATATTAATTTTCACAGATTTGGTGTAAAATAATTTTAGACAGCATTAGCTTAAACAATTTTTTTTTCGTATTTTTCGTTTTTTGTACAAGTTTCTGCTGATTTGTAGTGTTCAGTTACGTATCCAATGCTAATGATCACAGAAAATGTCAACAAGATAATGTTATCTGCGGTGATTCTCATTTCTTTAGGTAAAAAAATAAGTGTCCCTATCCGTTAATTTCTTCCCTGATGTATTTATTTTTTTTATTTGACTTTTCTTACATTAGATGGGCTAAAGATGTATTATGATTGCAGCAGTAATGAAAATATATCTCTGACCTTTGATTGCGGAAGGGAAAAAAATAGTTCTTGGGCAATCACTGCAATACTTTCTTCATCGGTAAAAAACAAAAGTTGGAAATTGTCGAAGAACTGCAGTTTATATTTCCCCCTTTTTTATCGAATAAAAGTACATCTGAAAATCGGTTAGAAATCAGGGAAATAAAATTTTTCCCACAAATTTCTTCAAATAAATCTTTTTCTCATTGTTGCAAAATTAATTGATGTTTGATCTGAGAAAAGTCCAAATTTATATCAATTAAATTAACTAAACTTATCATGCCTTTTTCGGGCATGAAACAGAATAATAATTTCGTTAGATGATGGTTGTTCTTAACATCCTATTATAAGTATTGAAGAATAAATACAAAAATAATTAACAACATAAATTTAAAAAAAAGATGCAATTTTATAAAATTTGTGATTGGTTTTTAAATTGCTGCTTTTCGTTTAAATCGACTCTTTTACACTCTTGCGAAATGAATTGACTTTCGATTTAAAAAAAAAGACCAAGTTTATATCAATTAAACTAACGCAAGGTAAATGGTGTATTAAGAAAATAAGAATAAATACAAAATTAAATAGAAAATAAATATTGAGTAAAAATGTTATTTTATAAAATCTGTGATTGGTTTTTAAATCGCATTGTTTCGTTAAAATCCCTTCTTTTTCTCACTTTTGCGAAAAGAATTGACTTTCTGATCTGAAAAAAAAAAGGTCCAAGTTTATGTAATTTATATCAGTTATATTTTATATTTACAAGTTTATATCAGTTATATTTTGACTAGACATAACCTCTGTTTTATGGTATGAAAAAAAAGAATGATAATCTTTTGACAAGATGACTGTCATTCCGAAAACATAAGGTAAATGGTGTTTTAAGAATATACGAAAAATTACAAAATGAAATAGAACTTAAAATTTTAATTAGATATATTATGTTATTAAAATCTGTGATTGGTTTTTAAATCGACTCTTTTACTCACATGTAAATATGTTTTTTTATGAAATGTGTAATTTGTTTTTAAATCGAGGGTCTCCCTTTTGACTAATGTATGCTATAAGATATTTGTAGAAATTATATTTTCTGGGATGTCTGTCATAGTTAACTACCATGCGTTGTTTATGTGCGGAAACTTTGAAAACTCCCAACAGGAAGTCTGGTTGTCTATATTGAAACATCTATACACGCTGGCATAAGTGCTGTCGAATCTTTCCCTTTCTGATAGAAGTGACTACTATACTATCATCAGATACTGGACTATGAAATGGATAGAATTTATAATTCAGCAGTTTAATTCACGCACGTATTAAAATTTCCATGATAAAATTTAATTTTTTGAAAACATGAAACAACTTATATATTATATAAGTTTTTACACAAGCAGATATGCAAAAGTGTATCAGCAGCAGTGATTCGTCTTGAACTGTGTTATCTTCATATCTAGTGATCTGCTGTCCCAGCGAAATATCTATCATTCGTATGAAAAATTTATTTGTTCTTAAAACTATGAGCTCTGTATCAAATCTCACGAAAATACAGAAAAAAAAATAATTAATTTCCTTTTCGTAAACACTGGGGATTGCTTTTCACATAAAGTACATACAAGCATCTACATATTTTTTCCAAACTTTGAAGGTATAAATTTTGTTGAAAAGTGACGTATATATCAACAGTTGATCTCATTTTCATAAATGCAATACCTCGGGTGAAATTAAATTCATTATCTACTTTTCATTATCTTTCTTTGTAACAAAATATTACAATTTTAAATTGAATAAAATATAGATAACATAGATACTCTTTTTCCTGTTTCTTCTGATGGTTCTTTCATAAAACTCACTGTATTTCTGGGGTACTCACTGTATCTCTGGGGTACTTTTCGGTTTTTATAAGTTTGGATTAGTTCAAAAAGAAATTCGACGATATCATTTTTATGTCCTATGCTCTTGCTTAAAAAGACCTCTGAATGGGGGCAAATAATTGATTCAGAAATTTAAATTAATCTTAATTTTAAGTTGTTTGTTAAAAAAAGGATTTTATTATTTCTTTAAATTATTGTAACAGAATTAGAAAAACATTAAATTTCATTTATTTTCATGGAATTCACCATTCATTTTAGACATTTGGTACTTTGGTACATTTCAACCGGTACATTACTTTAGTACATTACTTTAAATGATACATTAATTTACTTACTATTCGTGGTACTTACATAATTTTAAATATTTAAAATGAAAAGGAGACTTAACTAAATATTATAACCATAAAAATCACAATGAGATCCAACAAAAAAATTAACGAATGTAATCTACGCACGATGAGTTTCATGAAAATATTTGCTTTTGGTTTTGAAATCTACTCTAACACACAATATTTGTTGTATATTAGTATTATCAATCTATAAATATGTGCATAAGTGGATGTATGCATGTATGTATACTCCAGAATAACTAAAAAAAACTGTAATATTTAAAAGTTCAATTTTTTTTCTTTGAATTTATTATTTTTATGGAGTGTACAACAAAAAAATTTCAAAAAAATATTATTAATTTTATTTTTGATTACATCAAAACCTTATTTTGTATTTGTTAAAAAATTTACACCTGGCGCCATCTGGTGTCATGATGATCGACCGCTAACATATATATGAATTTGATCTTACTGGTTTGAAAAATAATGCTTGGAAACGCTGACAACGCAAAATTTAAGTGATCCAACATTTATGGAAAACGTGACTAAATAACTATTGTTGTCATTTTGAAAAGAGGCACAAACATTATTTTAAAAAAAAAAAAACATATTTTATAAGAATTCAAAAAATAAATAAATAAATAAATAAAGATAAAATGTAAGATAAACAGTTAAACGCAACAAAATAAAAGAAATATATATTTATTAATAAAAATATATATTTGCATAAAAAAAACATTCTATGCAGAATTTTTTATTGAAAATTATTTCATATTTTTACATAGTGCAATTTTTTTTCTAAGAATTCCAATAAGAACGCCTTTTTTCAAATGAATATAGTAAGATTCAGTGGGAAAAGTACTGCACATTGTTAATGAATATAAATCAGAAATTAAATAATAATTATGAATATTTCGCAATCTAAAAAGTTGCATTTTTTAAAAAAAAAATGATGCATCATTATTTAAAATATATAATATCTCATTTTATAAAACAAAATTTAAGACTAACTTTCAGTTCCATTTGACCAGACTTATTGATTACATTGTTTTAAGTGTCTCATTGTTTACGTCTAATGTTCACGATAAATAAATAAAAAACACTTAGTACTTTTTAATTTTTTTCTTCTACGAAGTAAGGTATTAAGAATATATAGTGCTGCCATCTACAATTGTACTTTAGAAACAATTCATATTTCAAATACGTACTTCGAATACAAGGGCATGAAATCCGCAGAGTTCAGACAAAAACGAAGTACAAAAAAGTATAAAGTTAAAAAGTTTTCGTAGCAAAAATTAAATTAAGGATTCATGATGAAAATATTCCTTGTCCTGATTTAATTAATAGCAATGAATTTCAATATAGTGAACTGTTCAAATGTTATATATTATTAATGAAAAAAAAAAATAATTGAACAAATTTAGTAATTTCCATTAATTAATAGCCATTAAATATAAATTTGAAATCACTTATTAAGTGAACTTATTGCTTCTCAGATAAAATAGAAATTTACTTATATTAATTTTTATGTATTAGCAGTTTTCAAAATTTTTCCATGTTTCTAAAACCATTTGCTTCAACTTCTTGTGTATAATTATATAAACTCCAATAATGAATTTTA